ACCTCTTATTAAGTCATCCAGCTCTAAGTGCCATTAAATTTTCAGTCAGCATGAATAAGTCAGAGTGCTCCACCTCTGAACATGCAGTAAGAAGAGCCGGCAAACTCATCGTTGATGCACTGAAAAGCAGAAAAATGATATTAAAGCCTTTCTCTGAATTCTGGAGTAACATTTGCTCAATTAAACATGTGAGAAGGGCAGCTGGGTTGTTTCTATTTTTTATTTTAAGATTTAAAGCCCCTTGTGTGTGGTGCCAGACAGCATTTTCAGAAGTATCGATTCAAATTTTGCTGCGGGTAAATGACTCCCAACGGGATCTCCTTGGAAACTGGAGTGGAGCCAACCACTGTGTGTCTAACGGACTTAATGCAGATATAAATCGCTATTCCAATCAAGGCTGTTTTATTTTTTTGCTTAACAGAAGTGATATCTCAGCCACAGAGCCGCAGATTTTGGTCGATAAGATTCCGTCAAATACCCTTAAATATATGTTACGAAATTACATCTGATTTATTCTTTGACAGGAGTTTTTTCAGAGGACTTTCTTCCACATTTCAGGTGAACAGTAAAGATCAGTTTGGGTCACTATTGGTACATTAATGGTTCTAATTGCTTAATTTTGTCTATATGATCGTATTTCATGATAATAAAATTCACAATGTAAAAACACATGATTTTTAAATATAACCCATGCAATGCCATGCAATAATATTAAGTCACTGAACTCTGTCCTCTTGCACAAACACTGTCTTCTGTTGAGGCTTTATGAAGTAGAAGAACACAAAGCAGAAAATGATAGCAAAAGAGGAAAATTTTGCATGTTTTTTTCAAAAATAAATAACTTTTATAGTTTTTATGCATGTGTATTTTTTTTTACTACTGTTTTGGTAGGAATGAGGGAATGATAATTCTTATCTCCACAAAATACAGTACTGAGCTGTAGCTCAGTGAATTAAAGCCTGTCAAGTGCATTAAGCACTACATACTTAACCAAAACTAACCACTCTGGGCACCCAAAAAGGCAAGGCAAGGCAAGGCAAATTTATTTGTATAGCACAATTCAGTACAAAGACAATGCAAAGTGCTTTACAATATAGGAAAATAAAACAGAATCAAAGCAAGTAGGAAAAAAAAATAAAATAAAAAATGCAGAAACAAAAAAGAATATTAAAAACAGTTGGACTAAAGAAACTGAAAGAGTTGAACTAATGATGTTTCAGTTGAACTGTTTAACTAGAACAGTCGAAGGCAATCCTAAACAAATGTGTTTTTAGTCTTGATTTAAAGGAACTCAGGCTTTCCGCACTTTTACAGTGTTCTGGAAGTTTGTTCCAGATAAGTGAAGCATAGAAACTAAATGCTGCTTCTCCATGTTCTCCAAAAAGAGGTATAAATTTGCATTCATACACTTCTTTGCCCTGTTTCCTCGAGAGAAAACAGTCTAGGTAACTGTTTTTAAGAATCTCTTAACTACAGTAGGAAATGGAGTCTACGTGTGAGTAATTGAGCTGCACAGAACCAGAGCTCTGGTGGAAAGTCAGTTAACTGGATCATTTTACTGGTGCACTCTTTAAATCCACTGTTTATTGTAAGAGTAAGGAGATGTCAAATAAACCATTTGCAGTTTGCAAAAAGCCATGCTGTATGTCTTGGGACAACGGTCACCAAATGTGGTGACCTGGAAAGAATTTGCTCCGGTCAACTGAAAGCAATCTTTAAATTTTTGACGAACAAGAAATATATATTTGTAGTGTAAAGCAAACAATGCACTGCACACAAACATTTAAGGTTAAAAGGTGAGTTGAGCTAAAAACAAGCCAGTCTTGAAAGAAAAAACTATTTGAGACTGAGGTGAAGGGTCTACCTTTAACAGGACCTCTTTTCCATTTATCTCACTACTTTGCACCACTTTGTTTATTCTTATCAAAATAATTTACTATATTTAATTAATACAATAGCTGTCATTTTTAATGTAATGGACAATTATTGCAATGAAGAGGGGGTTGTTTGGGCCTATGCGCCAGTAGAGCAGCAGTCTGATCTGCATAATTAGGATTAAGTTGAACCTGTTCTCGGGGAATGTTGGACTCTGGCAGGGGTGCTTTCTGTCATCAGTAGTTTTCATGAACCTAATGGAAAGGATTTTATAGATGCAGTCAAAGCCTTTGTGGATGATGTTTTTTTACTGGCTCTCTCCAGTCAAGACCTAAAGCAGATGCTCGGGTGGTTTGTATGAATTAAGTGGAATTAAAATGAGCTCATCCAATTCCTAGTTCATTGTTCTCACAAGGTGCCCTGCTGTCTTCAGATCAAAAGGGGAGTTTTTTCCTCAACTGGAAAAGTTCACGTCCTCTTGGTCCTAGTGAAATGTGAAGAGAGAATTAAGCTAGAGATATAGAGGTTGGCTATAGTGGGAAATATGACATCGATCTGATAATAAGTAAATACTAGGGCTGGAACGGTTCACAAAATCCACGGTTCAGTTTCACGGTTTCGTGGTCACGGTTTTCGGTTCGGTTCGGTATATGTTGATTGTTAGCCTGACATGGTGGTCGTGTTGCTGTTAGCATAAACAAAATGTGTTGCACAATGCTTGCACACTGTTGCACTTTTATCCACAACTTTCTTTCCGCCGTCATCGTAGGTCACTCTAAATGCAAAGTGGTCCCATACAGCAGACCTATAAAGTGCTGCTGGCGCGTCTTCCAACTCCTGTTCTTTCCCACTCGCCATACCCACACAATTCTCCACAACAACTGATTTTTTTCAGCTACACCCGGCTACGCCGCTTCGCTTCTTCTTCTTCTTCTGCTCTGGAGTGTAAACGCTTCGCCTATGAGAAAAAGGAGCAGCTCATGCACCGAACGAAACACGCAAACCGAAATGAGACAGTCGAACCGAACGGTTCGGACGGTTTTCATAAACCGTTCCATCCCTAGTAAATACAGGGTCAGTATTGTTGATACCAATACGTTTTAAGCTTGATGTATCATGAACCTGTTGACCATGGAGGAAAGGGGAACAGCAAAGGGCTGTGACACAGACAGGGAAACTGTTGTGAATCTGCTGCAGTCAATGCTTGCTGAATAGAAAATGAATGATTATTGTTCAATATCGATACCAGTGTTGGTATCAATATTATCGATAGTAGGATCGATCCGCCCACCTCAAGCAGATAGATTTTCTGGTTGCTGCTGTAATGTTGACCCTGTTCTGGTCTAACTGTACTGGCAAAACTTTTATTTTTATTCTTTTATAAATATTCCTATGTTTCTATGCTAATCTGTTAATCTGGGTTGTGACAAGCAACTGAAATTAGCTTCTTCTACAGGTTGGCTATGGGCTTTCTATGAGATAGAGTAAGGAGCTTGGCCATCTGGGAGAAGCTCATAGTAGAAAGGATTTTCCTCCACGCTGTGAGAAGTCAGAAGAGGTTGCTCCGACATCTGTTGTGATGCCCCCTGGACTTTTCCCTCAGGAAATGTTTCAGGCATGTCCCACCAGGAGAAGGCCCAGGAAATGGCCCAGGACTGTCTAGGGGGTGTCCCTTGGCTGGCCCGTCGAGCACCTTGGGCTTCATTCAGAGGAGCTGGAGGAGATGCCTGGGAAGATGGAAGTCTGGGCATCTCTGCTAAGACTGATGCCCCTGAAAGCAGGTTGTGGATAAATAGAAGATGACGAGAATGAATATGAAAATTCTTGCTATTTAAAGCCAGCAAGGACTGCAGTCTCGCATTACAATCATGTTAGTATTGCTTATATTGTTCTATTGTAACAATATGAGCCTGTGTCATGATCAACACTTGCACAATGCACTACTACTGTAGCATTAACAAAACATAATTTGTCTTAATCATCCATCTCCATCGGTAAATATCTGCATATATGTGTCACAGTATCTGGAATAAGAAAGAAAACATCAGACTAGGAATGAAATGGAAAAGAATAACCACCATATTGAAGCATACGCTCTGGAGATAAGATCTGATTGTAGCTAAGATTTTCCAAAGCTTTGAGTGCAATAAGGAATGATTTCAGTGTTCACTGGCGGCCACAAAATGACCTGGAAAAACTAAGATAAATGGAGCCATTGACTTCAAATATGACCCCTTGAAAGCGCTTTGCAAGCCTCCATCCATCGTCGTCTATTATATTCACGAGGCTGAACTGTCGAGGAGGGGGGGTGGGGTTGGTCGATGGGTGCCCACCTGCTCTCCTTCAGCTTCTAAGACACTGGCTGCCAAGAGATCAAACAGGCCTCATCACTCCCCCTCTGTTCTCCTTCTCTCCCTGGCAAGTTCCATATAGAAAAGGCGACTGACCCACTTTTCCTCCCTCCCCACCAAGCAATTACCTGGAGAAAATGGAGGGATGTAGCGTGGGATGTGTGCATTGGGTGGGTGGGTTTTTCTCCAACTGAACAAAAGCATCTCATCTTCTCAAACTGTACAGCGAGGAAGGAGTAGCTGGGACTCCAAATAAGGCATGTCATTTTCCTATCAGATACCACACCAATGGGAGGTGATTTCTCTAATGGTGCTTTTTGACCCAGTGTGGGTTTGTACATATGCACAAGTGCAGATATTAACTCGGTTCTGTCAGATCTGCTGCTTTAACGGGATGTCACTGGTGTGGCAGCGTTGATCTAAAACAAAACAGACATCAGACAAATTTACCAAACAAATGTATAATTTGCCAAAGGCCCAATAAGGAATGAGAGTAGAACATAAATTCCTCCACACTGAAGTAAATTGTTTACAATCCTGGGGGCTTTGTGAAAGCCACAGCCAGCACTCATTTATTTTCTCAAGGATTAGGTTTATATTGATTGACCATCATGACCAGCATCATGATACTCAGTGGCAGAGACCCATTTTTTCTGTTCTCATTTTCTGTGATGGTGCTTTTACCGTATTCTTTAACTCAAAAGAAACAGAGCTTTTACTGTTTTTTGTTTTTGTTTTTTTTTTTTCAAGAATATTATTTTTTTGTGCTCACAGGCCCCACATGGTGACAGACTACATGGGCATCAGGAATGAGAGCTTTATGAAGATTGCTGCAGTGGGGACATGGATGGGAGATTTTGTGACAGCTTGGATGGTAAGAAAAAGATACAGTTGTTAGTAATAAACAAAATTTTACTTCTATAAACTTGAAACTACTCAGATTTAGCAGAAAATTTGTTCTAATCATATATTTACTTGATCTGGTAAGCAGGACCTTTTTCAACTGGTTGAAATTATGCACTTTTAAATGGCATTACATTTTGAAATAGTTGCATTTTGTCTTTCACCCTGCAGATTGAAATTAATTCAGTTTAGTTTATATCTAAAGCACCAATTCCCACCAAACACTCATCTCAAGGCCCTTAACTCGGAAAATGAAATCACACAGACACACTGGTTAAAAGTTTTATAACTTAGGGAACTCAGCTGATTGCATCGAATCACTGACTTTGCAGGATTCACTCCTCCTGGAGGAACATGTGGCAGCGGACATTCACTTTCATCATGTTATTGACTGCAGCAATTCCAATATCAAGCATGCATGCAGTGACAGTTGTATTTTTTATGCTTTATTTTTTCTAAACCTAACTTACTGTTTTAGATTATCTCCTAATTCTCGATATGATTTATACTGAGTATCTTTAGAAAGTGAGATCTACTTTCTCATTCAAAGCTATAAAATAAATTAAAAAAGGATAATTATACTAATATGTTTTGCAAAATAGGGAAGTAACTTTTACAGCTCGACTGTGATCACAGAGAAATTTGTCTGAAGGAAAATGATAAGGAAACCCTTAACTATGATGCAACCATCCAATAAATCTAAGAAGCCTTCTGAAGAAAACTGGCTAAATGAGAACTGCTTCAGGAAGAGCAACAGATGTGGCCTCAGCATTGCTCATGTAGTTCCCAGCAAATGGTCTTAGCAGAGATTCGACCAATTGTACTTTTGTTTGATGTATTAACAGGGGCAACTGGGAAAGTTACTGTCTTGCAAACGGAATGCTGTGGGTTTAATGTGAGCTCTCTACTCTCTCACAAATAGATGTGCTTCTTGGACAGGGAACCTAACGTGTCTCTCGTTTAAGAGTGCTTTAAGAACAATAAAACTGACAATAAAGTCGATTTACAATTTGCTAAATGTGTGTGTAAGAGTTGTTATTAGGGGATGGTATTCTATAGGCCCTTGACAGTTTATTTCAATAATGAATCAGAAATCTACAATGTGGTCCTAAGTCTATTATTGACTTAACATGGCCCCTTCTACTATTAATATTCCCTCTGTGCATCACTGGCAGTCCTGCTCTCAGGGGTTTTTGTCACTGAAATGAATGGAAAGTTCTTCATATACTAAAACAGAAGCAATAAGATACATAATATACACTTCCCACCATGTGTAAGGTAAACAACCATGCATTTTTTCTTTATTATAATTCATCTATTCCATCACGTTCCATTTTATCCGATTTTACTGAACCAGTTACTTTGTTTAAGGCTGGTAATTTGAGATTAATGTATCATGTGGGCTCCATAATGCAAAAGCATGCTTCTCAAATAAACTACTCAAATAAATAGACCAATCTGACCACTTTAGAGAACATAAATCATGCTGAATGGTGACTTACTTTAGATTGGTTGCAGGCAAGGTAGTGGGGGCAGACAGTCAGACAGTCGGGTGTACTGTATGTTGAGACCCTAATCAGTGCTTTTGTTCTTTCTTTTGACATGTACAGACAAAAAAAAACAAAAACATTTAGCCTCTTTACATGGAAAAGATCAGTTTAACCAAGCAAAAAAAGAGCTACATTCAACATATATATGGTAACATTATGTGATTACTGCAGCGTTAAATTAAAAAATGACAAAACATTCCAAGAAAATTTACAAGATGAATTTGAATTAATGCTGATTTGATATAGGGTTAGCAGAATAACACATCAATCAGTAGTTAGAGTCTTGCCTGCAGTAGAAAGAGGTTTTTACCCTTAGTTAAATAGAAGCCCCCCTTCTTTAAAAAATAGAGTTTTTTTTATAGATTTTATGCATCTAGGAATTTTTATTTGTACTTCTTTCAGAGACCTTCCTGTGTTTTTCATGTGGGCTTTATTATTTTAATGAAACAATGAGATGTGTGATTTGAATCATTAAAAAAAAGATCTGATATTCTGTCAGCTTTTCTTTTTTTTTTACTATGATTGTGACTGAGTTTGTGAAAGGTTTACTTAAAGGTTTACTTAATGTCATACCAGAGGAATTCTAACAGCTGGTCAGCCATATAAAACAGCTCCAAAAGCTGAGTGACAACAACAGGAGAGATAAGTTGTATTTTTATCTGGGTAGATGAAGGATATTAGTATGAGAAAGAATTTACAGGATAATTGCTGATAGGCAGAGAGAATAAGATGGAGCAGAGAAAGAAAAGGATAATGGAAAACTGAGAGATGTTTTAGTCAGACTGTATCCCTCAAATCTATAGCAATCTTCTTTCCTTTAACATTGCTGTTTTGATAAATCTTTTTAAGTATTAGTTTTGATAAAAAATAAACCTCATACATTGAAAATAAGCTTTTAATTATATCAAGTGATGGATCAATCTCAGTTCATCTGACAGATTTTATCATCTATGATGAAAATGAGGCAGTTATTCTTTAAATATAAAAGCATTGTGAACTGAACAATATAGGTAAGATTTTAATATGGAATTGTTGAGCTGTTGTTTGTTGTCTAAAAATGTTTTTAAGGAACTGGTCTGGTTAGCTTGGAGTCCATAAATTAAAATGACATCACATCAATTTGAGCATCTTCCCGTTCCAAGATGAAAAATTTGTGGAATTTCTACAGTTTACTACGGTTGGTATCAGGAATCCAACTATCATAGTTTTTTATAGATTTAGGGTTTCGTTTTGCAAATTCACAACATCCATCCATCCATCCATCCATCCATCCATCCATCCATCCATCCATCCATCCATCCATCCATCCATCCATCCATCCATCCATCCATCCATCCATCCATCCATCCATCCATCCATTATGCTTATTCAAAGTGGGGTCGTGAGGGGTGCTGTTGCCTATTTTCAGCTGTTTATGGATGGGAGGCAGGGTATATACCCTGGACAGGTCGCCAGTCCATCGCAGCCAGCTGACGCCCATTGGGACTAATTTAAATTTCTCTTTATAACCTATATCCCACCAAATCAGTGTTAAAAGAAGATTTATTAAAAATAAAGATTAAATATCTGATAGAACTTTATGGGCATTAGGTTGCCATGCGTTATGCATAAGTTAGGCTATCGTTGGATATGCTATGTATACGCCCAAAATTTGAAAAAAAATACATAGAAAGTTCAGCACCAGGCATACGCTGTCTAAATTGGCAAGGTGTGACATGGTCCTTAAATAGAGTCAGGAGCAGGTGGATCAGATGAGCAGTGATAAGAAACCAGGCAGAGTTAGACAGGTGAATGGAATGAGTAATAAAGCCAATCATTAGCTCCAAGATCATGACAGAGGTATTGTTTGGGTGACCTGTTGGTGTTTAGGTATGGTATGATGGATGATGAATAAGCTTAAGACTTTGAGTTTCAAGGCTCCATTTACAGCCCATTAAGATACAGAATTGTAGATTTTGTTCCCCAGAAATTAGGTCTTCAACTCTGGTCTTCAGGTCCCACTATCCCATAGTTTTAGGTGTTCCTCTACCTCCACATACCTGACTTTAATTAGTGGGTGATTAACTAGCCTGTACAGCCCTTGGCAGCTGCTGGGGAGGAAATGCAATCATTTGATTAAGATGTAGTGAAGGGGAGACACATCTAGAAAAAGCACGGCAACGAGCAATGAGGATCAGGTTTTAAGACGTCTGCCCTAGATGATATCCAAATGCATCTCTAGTTAGCATGGCAAGCTAATAACATTTTCTCACCATTCTTCACATTCACATAGTTTTAGTGTAGATATAGTATAAAGATATTGTATTTCCAAACAGTAGACTGATCAGAACCGAATTGTACAGGATTCCTTCTGGCAAGTCACTGGTTTTGAAGGGTTAGGGTGAAAATTGGTTTTTTGTGAACACAACAACGACATTCATATTCAATCTGAAATCAGTTTTCTGCTAGGTACTATCCATCTATGTAACTGTATCTGTATCAGTACCTTCTACTGCAGGTAAGGTACTGGCTGATGTTTACTACTCCACAAGAACCTAATTTCAACTAAAATAGCCAAAGAACTAATAAGTGACACACTGTTCCCTTTAAGGTTTGAATACAAAAAAATAGTTGTCTATGAATTTTTTGTTCTATCTGTAGTGAGTAATACAGGATTAATATTTTCTTCAAATTACAGAAAACTTTAAGATGTATCCCCTCTTCCACAATAATAGCAACAGAACAACCTTCCACAGCAATTTAGTCCAGGCTGCGACTCCCTTGAGCAGCTCAGAGACCTGAGGAGGGTCAAGAAAAACAATGGATGCACAAGGGGGGGACAGGGTACACTGCAGGTGGAACATACCTCTGTTCATTATTCAACATGAAAGAGGGGGGGAGCTCCAGCGGGAGTGGGCCTCGTCTGCTGGGAGGAGCGGGGCTCAGAGCTGAGACAACCTGCCAACCTCCCTCACGTATCGCATTAGTATTCCACAGTACATACTTTAGAGGGAGGGAAAGTGCAGGAGTGAGTGAAAAGCAAGAAACAGGTGAAAGGGTAGAAGGGTGTAGAAAGGAGCTCTGAAAGGACAAACAGGAGGGGTCGGTGTTTCGGGGAGACAGCTCTTTGTACAATGCAGCAAATTTTATGCAACAACTAAAGTGCTGATGTCAGAAATTATTCACCAAGTATTTTTTTTTTTTAAATAACTCTGAACAAGACCTCTTTGTTTCCTCCCCACAGGAGACTATGTTCACTGAAAGGGTTGACGAAGTGCCCTGAAGTTCCAACTTTCCAGAATTGCCTCATCCATTAATTGATTGACACTCTTTGTAAACAGTATCTATCATTAGAAGGTCACCTAGAGAAATTTAGGTTGCATCGTAATGTGGTTGATATTTTCAAAAGTGTACTGAATCAGAATAGGATCGGAATCACAATCAGTGAAAAAAAAACAAGATGCAAAATCTTTATTCTTTGTCTGGGTTTGTAGGATTTTATTTCTCAATCAGTGATGAGAATATAGAACTAAAATAATTTAAACTAATGCTTAATTGAGAAGTTCATTGGTTTGTAGCAGTTTAAAACATTGGTTTTCAACCATGTGGCTGGTATCTGCGGTAGTTTTCCTATGACCACAGTTCAAGAAAAGTCCAAATTTGGGACAGAGCAGACTGTTCTTCTCCAGGAGGCTCGGGTACTTTGGTTTTTGCAGCTGCTACTGCATATCTTCTACAACTCAGTGTGCAGTCAACTTCTTCAGAGTCCTAATGACCTGATTATTTTACTCAGGTTTGCTAAAGCATAGACACATCTAAATGGTACAGGACACCAGACCTCAAAGACCAGAATTGTTGAACCTTGTTCTAATTCATTGTTCAGATTATGAACTCTTCTTCCATTTTTTATTGGTGTTTCAGAGCAAATTACCTAAAAAAACGTAAAAAGCTAATAAATAATGCCCGTTCTGTTCTGATAACTCCTCTAGAACGTCTGGAGATAATTTTACAATGAAGCACATTATGGACACCCCTGAGCATCCAGATCCTTCCTGCAAACAGCCATAAATATAATAGCTCATTGAAGAAACCTTAATTACTACAACATTAAATTGTTGTATGAACTGGATTTACTCCACCAGCAGAGGCAGTTAATTTAAATAGGTTGAAATATCTTCATGGGTGAAAACATCACTGATGTGTAACTTTCATAAATGCAGACAAATTAAGATCATCGTAGAATGGAAAATGGCAGCCACAGCACTAAGTGTTAATCTTTATTACTAATTTTTCCGTCATATTAAGTTGGAATAAAAGCACGCTGCTGACTAGTATGCACACATTCAATAACTATGTAAAATAAAGCAAGCTTAATCTTTTCTCATTTAGTCCAAGAAGATGGAGAAATGTAAACTCAAAAACCTTTATAAACCTTTATTTTATAACCACAGATTATTTGTTAATAGACAAATAATCCATGTTTGAGCATCTGAAGGTTTATAATTTCATGATAGAATTGTTCTTTCATTATTCATATTTAAAATTTATAATTTTGGGAAAAGGTTTGAACAAAATTACTTTAATGGTATTATTTGGGGCTAAAGTCAATTCATAGAGCCTGGATCAACAGTTCTTTCAAGAGATGTTAGTGTTTGTGATGCAAACACTTCTACAGTGTCAAAAGGACAAAATAAGAGACATTACTGTCGTCCTTGTTTCATCTGCTCAGATTTAAGAAGCTAAATGTTTTATTACCTGCTTAAACTCTGCTGAACTGAATGATTCAAGTACATAATACAAAAACAAATGGTTGATGAGGACAATAAAATGGTTCTTGGTAAAAAGAGTTAAAGCAAAGAAAATAACCTTGGAGAATATAAAAAAAATCTTGCAAAGATGTGAAAGGATTATTCATTATTTACCTCTTATCTTAGGTTTAAGTAATTCATTTTACTTTCCCAAAGGTAACAGATATGATGCTTCAGGATCAACACTACCCGGATTGGGGCAAAGCTGCAAGAAAGTTCTGGAAAAGAGGCAATAATCGGATCGTCCTTTTCTGGTACGTCTGCTCACACTGGTTTCATATAATACATAATTCTTCTTTTTTGAGGGGACCAAAGGTTTTTGCATGAACCCTTGCAGATATGTGTCTGCACGCCTGCATGTGTGCATGTTATGTGGTCTCATCATCCCGTCACAGGGTTGCGTGCAGTCAATATCAGTGTTAATCTGCCTCACTCAATGTCAGCACCTTTAATTAGAAGAACAGGGCTAAAATCAATGGATGCCACAAGGTTGCTGTGTGTGCCACAAACTCTTTTACTTAGCCCTAACACAAGCTGTGACCCTGAAATAAACTGTAAACAAATGCAGAAAACTGTGTCTCATAGGAGTGTTATAGGACAGATTATTGGGCCTGGTCTCTGCTTAAAAGTAGGTAACTATTTCTGCACGGCCCCGGAGGTGTTCATTCACTCGCGGTGAAGTGATCCCTGTCAGTCAGATATGACCTGTGACTGTACTTTCCGGTGGTTCATTCTCAGGTCACAGAGTGATTGAAAGGCAAGGGAATTAACCGACTAACTTTGATAGTTACACTTCATACTAAATATGCAGACATATCAAAGAGTTCAGCCATAAACTTCAACGTTTCCTTCCGTTAAATCAATTCTCTCATGATTTGGACTCCAAGCAGACAAATTCTTCTGCGACTTTTTTCATATTTATTGACGAGCGCCCGAGCTCGTGTTGTCATAATCGATGGCTGGATTTGACGAGGCCATCGTTTGGGATTCAGAGCTTGAAATGTGACTGATAAATGCTCTGCAGGATGGAGCTTGTCGATATGCTGCGGCAGATAGGGGAGAACAGTGCCAAAAGGTTGGCTACTGCGCAAGCAAGAATCCCACTGTGGAATATTAAAACCTCCCTCTAAAACTTATCTCCCACTCTGCTGAAATGGGATACGAGCTGGCAGCCTGTATCTGCAGGGCAACCAGCCGTTATGTGGTGCAAAACTGCACAGAGCAGCACAATACTGGTTGGGTGACATTGAGAGAAGATACCCAGCAGAGATTAATACAAAGAGAGCCAGTCTCTCTTCACACAAATGAAGATGTTTTCCAGCAAACTGTGAATATTGAATGACTTGTGCAAAAAATGGCAATCACTAGGAGCAGTTCAGTGTTAAACATGTAAATGCATGGAAATTGGTGTGCTGTGTAGCTCTGATTTACATTGTTTTGGCAGGCTTATTTTTGTTCATATCATCCTAGAAGAGTCTGCTAGGTTTATTTCACTTTTAATAAGGCCTAACCTTTGCTATAGACGTCTTCTCTCATAGCTTCATTCATAGATCTCTCCCCTCTGTCCCTCTTTACTATACTTAATTTTTTTCCACCCTCCCTTCACAAAAACTTTTCTCCACTTCCCTCCAGGACAGTGCTTATCTCTCTGACCTCTGTGGTGGTCGTAGTCATCAGCACCGACTGGATCAGCTGGGACAACCTGAACCGCGGCTTCCTGCCCAGCGACGAGGTCTCCAGAGCCTTTCTAGCTTCCTTCATTTTGGTCTTCGACCTTCTCATTGTCATGCAGGTAAATTTCTCCCTCGTGGCCAATTAAAAAAAGGGAGGGGAACCGGGATGTCTCTTGGCTCAGTCCACTACCCGTCTTGCCAGTTCCTGTTTTTCCCTATTCATCAACGGAACACTGCAGCACATAGCTGTAGAAAAAAGGATTTTGATCATTCTCAGCTGGCATGGGACAAACATTTATTCCTCTCCGTCTCTCCTTTCAGTTCCCCCTGTTCTTATTTACCCACATGACCCCCACAATTCATTCTAATGTGAGCATAATTTATGTTCCTAAATACTTATGGTTCATAATAGTTTTTGTTTTTAGTTAATATTCTCTCTCTTAAAACACTTTTACTTCTACAATTGCTATTGTTACTTTTACTGAACCATTCTTACACTTCCAAGGGGTGCATGGTGGTGCAGTTCCGTTGCCTTGCAGCAAGAAGGGCTTAGGTTTGATCCCCTGTTTAGGGTTTTTTCTTTTTGAAGTTTGCAGTTTCTCCCCATGCATGTGTGGGTTCTCTCTGGAGACTCAAGCTTCCTCCCACAGTCTAAAATCATGACTGTTGGGTTAATTTGGACTCCAACATTGGCCTTAAGTTGAAGAATGAACCATTCTATTCCCTGCTTTTATGTCAGAGATGGGGTGTCCAGGGTGTTCTGCATTGTTCCTTTTTTGGCTGAAATAGCATTTTCCAAAAGGGCAAAAACGTTTGGTCTCTATATAGCAGACTCTTGCACACATATGTGCTGTGCCGCTTACATGGTTTTATGAAAACTGTTAACTTTACTTCTTATTACTTGGGTGAGTGCTGGCCTAGGGTTAAAGCAGTGTGCTTGTGCAATGAGAAGGTTGCAAGTACCTGGTTCGATCTCAACAGCCTCCTCTCTGCTAGCCTCGTGAGACCATTCTGATCTCGCGAGCTTTCAAGGTTTCACTCGCAGATCAGTCTGGCTACTTTCCGTTAAAGAAAATTTGAAGCAGTTCACTAAACGATCGTCCAATCAGCGTTGGCTTTGAGGCGGGTTGAGGTGTGACGCAACGAGAAGCGCGACAGTTCAGTCTAAAGAACATGGCGGCTTCAGCCAATGAAACTAGCGTTAGCTTGGCTGTCGAGCAAGTTTTATCGGAATTACAGAGTATTTCTTCACTGAAAGAAGAACAAAACACTGCTCTGGAGGCTTTTCTCAGAGGAAAAGATGTTTTTTGCCCTTCTCCCGACTGGTTTCGGCAAGAGTTAGCCTGGCTTGTGGTTGTGTTTTCGTCGTCGCTCTGTTAGTACGTCATATGCTTCGTTGATCTGAATGGTTTATTTGGCCCGTCTATTACCAACATAGGCCAATCAGCTAACCAGTATTTTCGCCCCTTCCCAAAATTACTACAACGGAAGGTTTCCAGATTTATATGCGGAGCAAATCCATCTGGCGGAGTCAGGTTACCTCTCTGCGTCTCTGAGCAAGATTCTTAACCCCACACAGCTCCCTGGGCACTGCACAATAGCAGCCCACTGCTCTCCAAGGAGATGGGTTAAATGCAGTGATAAATTTCTCCAGTGTGAGATCAATAAATTTCAAATATTATTATATTCTTTCTTTTAGTCATGGCTTTCTTATCACCATTCTTCTATCGAGGTAAAAACTGTGCACAATGTAAAGATTGTATGTTAACATAACCTTCCACCTGAGCTTCAAATCTCTGCAGCTCCCCCAAAATGTTCCAAATGGCTGTTTTTTCTGCTCTCCTTTTATAACATGCCAGTTTATGTGGTCAACCATGTCTTGGAGACTTTGTCAAAGCCTCTGAATTCATACAGAATTTAGTTTTTTCTTTTATTTCTTTGTTTTAGATGTATCAGAGCAAAGAGGTTCAAAACAAAATAGATATTGACATTCAAACATTCTGATTTATAGTTATTTGAAATTTTGCATTTCTCTGAAACATAACATCTCAATAGAATATAACCAGGGTTGTGATTCTAAAATGATAAAGTGAGAAAAGTCTGATGAGGCTAACCAGCAACAGTAATAACATGGTGTGAGACTGTGTAATGCACATCCAAACACTTAAGGAACAGAGTTCATGCAGAATCTTTAGAAAACACTAGATACACACACTGCAAGGCTAATGTTTGTTAGTACTTAAATATAAATCCCTGTTCTGTTTGTTGTGCTAATTACAGAAGCAAGAACTTTCATGGGAGGACATGTCATAGTGTTACAAATGAACCACTCCCAAAAAAGCCGGCAAGGTCACCAGTATATTTCCCATGTTAATATGTATTAGATCTCTACAACTATTTCTAGGTTCTATTTATAAAAAAAAAAAATAATGATATCTAAAGAAAGGGCTGCTGGCTGCTCTGGCTGTTAATTACTTCAGACTTTGGTCTTTTCCACATTAATTTAACAAATGATTGTGATTATGCAGATGCGTTGAACTAGCTCCGTTTACAAAACACCCTCACAAAGATGCAGATATCTGGAGGTTTTTAGTCCTCCCCCTTTGGCTGTATATCACTCTCCACTCGGAGCGATCTGTTTACAACCAGCTCTTCTCATTTCCTGCACAGTGTACAGCAAGTACATTTACTGCAGTAATTTACGAGGTGAGCCAGCTATTGCCGTTATGGGGGCCCTCGCACCGGGAGCCATCACTGCGTTCTATCCGTCAATACAAATTCACCTGCCACAGCCCTCCTGAGAGCTTCCTTCACCTCCATGTTGGAGCAGTGCCAAAGCTTATCCATGAGAAAAATGGGTGGAGGTGTTCTCAGGCCAATTAATGTCCTGCCTTGACTGAGCTCCAGGCGGTCTTTTAGCCCTTTTAATTGAATGTTTGCTGATGTTTCTTTGCATTTTCCCACCTATTTCATAAATTAACCTAAGTTTTCTTTGTATTTTGGTGGAATCCTGTGCATATTTATTCATAAGAAGGATATGTTGATACATCATTGTTATTTTCTTCATAAAGATTCATAGTTTTAGGAAGAGATAAGATATCAGTAAAGCCCATAAAACTGTGTATTTTATGTTATTGCCTATTTTTATGTTTCATTTCTGTTTTTTTTTGTTTATCTTACATGTTACAATGACATGACCTGATTTGCAGGTGTTTTCAAGTATAGTGGCATAGTCATGGCAGGCTGCTTCTTTACGTTTAACAATATTTTTCTTTAATTTTCTGTCAGTTTTTTTCTGTAGTTGGATTTTATTTTCCTTTATTATTGTTCATAATTCTCATCCGTCATCATTTGTTTTTTTAAAGAAAAAAATGCAGTGGATTGGTTTATATAAAATGGGTAGCCGGTGAGGTTTTTAAACATCTAGATTTATGTGCAGATTAAGATCCTCCAATCTTAGAGTCAAAAAAAAGAGACCTTGTAAAAGTAAAGCTAGCCAAAGAGGAAAGGGAGGCATATTTTAAAACCAAGCATGTTATAAATATTGGATAATAGAACTGTAATAAATATTGCATAAAAAAATTATCATTGAAGCCTTTACTGAGATTATGACGGTACTGTTAAACTTTTGTTTCTATTTGGTATACCATATTCCTGATTACCTAAAACCTAAAGCTTTTGCATAGATTAGATGCAACAAAAAATAAGATGGAGCAGAATTTAATTTAAATGTGTAAAATAACTATCTTCTTCCCTCCATGTGCAAGCATAGCTTCTGATAAGGTAATTGCTGGAAGGTTTTCAGCCTGTGGCATCCTTTGCTTAAAGACTTAAGCAATGACAGCATAATTTCCCTGGGATTTCTATTATTATTGTTTCAATGTCTTTATTTTCCATTAAAAATATATTTTGTCCATTATCCAATAAAAATGTGGTTAAAAAGAGACCCTGTAGTTATCATAGATAGTGTTATAAGTTGCTTTATAACATTATGACTTTAGAAGTTTTTCAATTTTCAGTGTTTCAGTTTTGATAATTTTGCATTTAGTTGCTTCAGATTTCAACATATTTTTCTTAAGTTCTAAACAGGTGTTTTTTTTTTTCTCAGTAATCAATACGTTTAAAAAAAAGGAACACATTTATTCTACCTAAATGAAAACTTGCTTTCAGCTATTGAAAACTATATAAAACAGCATGGATAGATTATATATTTAATTCAGTTTATTTTTAAAGCGCCAATTCACAATACATGTCATCTCCAGGCAGTTTACAATTCAATATATTTTTACTAAGTGAAGGAAAAAAGATTATGCATTCTTTAGTACAGTGTATACTATAGATATGCGGTTTTAATCCCACTTCACTGTGTATCTAAGCCAAAATATGGAGTTCAATGCCACATTGAGCCACTCTTGACTGCAAACCTTTAAAACCACACAGGGAGTGATTTATTTCTTAGATTTGTGAATCACGTTGGTATGAATACTGGCAGCTTTTCTTTGAAAGTCACCAGCCTCATACTGTGGCTGTGGAGAAAAAGGGAGTTTGGAAACACCACAGGGCATCAGAAGCCTCTAAATGTCACTTTGTTCTGCCTGTTGATGTATTTTGACATGTTGAAGTCCCACTGCACACGGGTTCACTCCAGCAGCCTGTAAACATGCAGTGTGATCTCCGCTCCATAGCGGCCGACACCGTGTTTGACCTGCAGTCAGCGTGTGAAGAGACTCCACTGAGACTTAATATCAGCTAATATGAGAAACTTCCAGTGCGGCATCCGATGACGGATGATACATGGTTGATATTTTTCACTGTCAATGTTATTTGAATGGATTTTTCTATTCTTAAGAGCATCAAATGAGATTAATTTCGATTATATTTGCTTGTTTTTGTGTGATTTTTATTTTTTTTCAGGACTGGGAGTTTCCTCACTTCATGGGTGACCTGGATATGAATTTGCCCGGAATGTCAACAACACATGTGAAGGTCAAGCTTCCTGTCTGCAAGAGTATATTTAAGGAGGAGTACCACATTCACATCACAGGTACCCTCAGGCAAATCTGCTGTTAAAGAGCAAAGTTATGTCAATTTCATAGGAAAGAGTCCCCAACTTTTTCAAACACGCATTTAAAAAGGACAAAAATGGAAAAGTTAAAAGCATTTGATGAGTAAGAAATACCTTTCATATTTTCCTGTTAAAAACTGAAACTGCTCCACCCCCAAATTCGGAAAAGGTTCGTTTGTTACAACCACCACAGCAGGCATTTATAATGCATGTGTCACAACTGCCAAAGATGCTTCAACTGTTTTCATCATTTCCTACATCTATGTTTCTCAATGTTCACTGCAAACGAGTCAATCTTTCCTTCAACTGCCCCCCCCCACCTCCCGTGTTCCATCAAGAGCAGGAAAAAAGCAAATATTCCTGAGCTAAACGGCACATTTTCAAACTCTCAGTGATTTTTGGAAGAGGTTGTTAACCCTATTGCGTTGGATATCCATTAAGCATGATGGAAATGGCTACACCAGGACGTGATTGGTTTAACTAAAAGCTTATTAGCATCATATCTGGGGAGGGGAGAGAAAGGGAGTAGTGTCATATATACCTGGGGAGACATTTGCCTGCTATCAGTCATCCAGAGAAGATGGCTGTCTCATGGTAATATAGCGATCTTGTAAGTAGCACCTGTAAATGGATTTCTCTTTCTCGCTGTGTGAGCTGAATGTAAAGTGAGAGGGATTCCTGATGCATGACAGTGGAGGCTGACCTTTCTGTTGGAGTTTTCCTTGTGAATCTTATCGACAGTAGCGGTCAGAGTTTTGGACGAGGCCATCACTGAAATTATTTTTAATTCATTTATTCATTGTTTTTGTCCTTCGATCATTTTTTCAATGAAGAGTATCAACGTCCAAAGAAAATGACTTTGACCTTTACACCTTTATCAGAGTTATGTTCACAAATTTGGGTTTAGTTTTAATTTTCTCTTATGTATATAATTCTAAAATTAAGCATAAAGGCAGAATTTGAAACAGCTTTGATTCAGTATGAATATTTGACCGAATTGGCAGGATTTATGGTTCGTTTTCTAGCACAGACCTGGATTTTGGAGTAAAGATACTATGCTTTCAATAGTGTCAAACATTTTTGATGCGCTGGTTTTACTTACTCTAAATCAGATTTTAATTTGGATTTGGGTTCTTGTTTTTTTTTTTTATTGTTTTTAATGAATTGAGTTCTTAATTGCAATAAACTGCTTACTAAAGACTGAAGGTTGCACCTTCCACACATAAACAAACCAAATCAGTCCTTGGAAATGTTTTATGATCAAATGACACAAAGATTAAGCTGTTGTGTTGCCGTGACAAGAATTGTTAAGATTTAACAAAAAAGCAAAATGCCTCCATCACTATGCATAACAGGTTATTAAACTTTTCTTTAATTTAGTTAGATCACCAGTAATAAGAAACAATTATACCAAAAACTGATATATGTATGTAAAAGATGTAAGAAAATAAAAATACCCATGTAATGCCACTAATGCTTAACATCTCTCTCTCTGCAGGTAAGTGGTTCAACTATGGCATTATATTTCTTGTGCTCATACTGGACTTAAACATGTGGAAGAACCAGATTTTCTACAAGCCCTACGAGTACGGCCAGTATGTTGGGCCAGGAGAGAAGATCTATACAGTGGAGGAGCCAGAAACACTTGCAGACTTCAACTATAGCACTCTCACCTATGAGTGGCGCTCCACGAATATCAACCCCATGACCAACAAGACGTATGTGGAGCGGGACATGTTTCTGCACAGCCGTTACACTGGGGCCAGTTTGGACGTTAAGTGCCTGGCATTCATCCCAAGCCTTGCAGCGTTTGTTCTCTTTGGCTTCTTCATCTGGCTGTTAGGGCGCTTTCAGGACAGCGAGACATTCCCAGAAAACCAAGACAGCACGTATGAGAGGATAAAGAGGAAGTCGCCTTCGGAGTACAGTAAGGAAATGGGAGTGACCCCGGAGGACACACACCTGACTATGAGCAACAGTCTGAAACGATGGGGAACACCGATGCTCCTGTCGGTAGAGGGGCCTCAGTTTGGAGCGACACCGTCTACGAACTCGACTATTTCAATGGACACCCAGGAGACGCATCCAAGCATTGTGATCGACAACTCATCCCAGGATGAGCCTGTTGTCTCGTTTGATGTCCACAGACTCTCACCGTAAACAAAACCACATCAGGAGCCGAATAAAAGCAGAAAGAATCCATCAAGACCTCAGACTGTTACACAGGGTGGCAGAGGTTTTCCTCCTGCTAAACCTTTTTTACACACATCTGTCTTTTATTGGGATTTTATGTAGTAGACCATCACAAAGTAGTGCAGAATTGTAAATGTTGAATGAGAGAGAGAGAGAGAATGAGACCAAATCATTCAGATCAATGCACACACTCATATCACCCAGGATGCAGCGTGGGTGCGGCTACTGAGGCTGTTCACATCAACAAAACGTTTTTGCAAAAAGCACATTTGTAGTGTTCTCAGCAACAATTTCAAAAGCCTAACAGGAAATATTAGGCACCAGCTGAAAAAACAATTCAGAATAAAATCAATCCACCAACCTACTCTAACTTGACTAGCAGAAACAAAAAGGCCAAACAGAAACAAAGGAGGATAAAAAAGGGATATTTATGTGCACCGATAGGAAGTTTTGCCCTAGAAATCCTCAAAGAATTCTCTCGTAACCTTTTCTCTCATGTGCTGGTTCTGCAGCTGGAGTCACAGCTGGGTAAGCCTGGTCCCAGCGTTCAGTGTGAGTGACCTTTTGCAGCAGGTTCCCACCACAGCTGTGGCGTATTCAGTGTGAGCCTAGCATTAAAAATGTTTTATAAATAATGATTTGGAAATTAAATTCAGGCATTTATTGCACATACTGTAAAGTTGCTTTGAAACCATTCTAATATAGATCTATAGATGTGGCTACATGTTTTGGGTGGTTGTTTAGCTGAAGGGTTAATCTCTGCCTCTATTAGGTTTTCCTCCTGGGGTTGTCCTGTATGTATCTCTATAAATCTTCACTTCACTGTCTTTTCCGAGGAAAAACATCCCCACAGCATGATGTTTCCACTCCATGCCTCACCATGAGAGTTATATGTCACTTTTTCCACCATATGTAGCATTTTGTGTGTAATCCAAAATCTACATGTTTGCTCTGTCCCCTTCTGTAAAGAGGACTTCTTATGGCTTTCTAAAGACTAGCTATTCAAGGCTTTTAGAGTTCATAGCTAACGGTTGTGCCTTTAGACTGTCGTCTCCTTTAGGCCTGTAAGTTTAGATGGATAGGCACCTCTTTGTAGTACGTGACATAATAATGGTTTAATGATTTGGTCTTCACATAAAATCTGTTTTAAAATACATAGATAACGTGTAAAATATATGAAAAGGATATAAATTGACATATGCTTATTCCTGGCAATATAGATGTCTTAAGCTACGTGACTTTATGAAAGCAGGTCCTTGTGCTGTCATATTTTTCCAAAACCTACTCTAATAAAGCCTCCATATTGGCACTAGTTCTGATACAGCTAGTCTGATATAAGGCAAATGTTTTAATTGACCTGGTGCTTGCTTGGATTTTCATAATCTACTTCGGTTTCTGTTAAACTAACGGGTGCCTATACAGTATAAAAGAGTGTTTCTACTTCTGAAATTCCTAGTCGGAACAGTGTTACAGCTACAATTGTGCCTTGATTTTTCAAATGTTTATACACTGACAGCCTTCTGCTATGGAAGATGTCCTAATTATGGTCTGCTTGACTAATCCCTGCTGTATTCTCCTATCAAACTGACAATTGTTGCCTCGTTTGGTCCTTCGCTTCTGTCATTATTATTTATTCTCTTATGTTGCTTTTAATCTATTTTAAATGTATATCTCTTGTTGGAATGACACGATTATCAGCATCAATCTATGTTGATGACCTTTTCATATCCCCTCACTTGATATTAGGATGGGAGATAATAAATGCAATCATCAGAGATGAAATAGCAAAGCAACAAGCCGCTCAATGATTGCAAATGTGGCTCCTACTCTTTTCTCTGAATACCAACCAAGTCGGGAGGTTGGTTTCTTGCCCTTGGCATAAACATGCTATTGAAGTGAGGGGTATCTTTTTTTTTTTTTTCTTTAAAGCTCAGTTCTTCTTTGTGTCTAAATAATCTTTGAAGGTTTTTGGAAGCGTTATTTTATCCTGGTATATTTTTGAATATTGTTCAGCTGGCACATTATACTGCTGCTCCAAACTCATTTTATAGCAGCAGTATTTATCTTCCCAGTCACTTTAAAGGTGTCTTTTTCAAAGTTTCCTTGTGCTACATTATGTCTTTGTAATGTATGTCTGCGGGAGACGGTCCAAAAAAATGTGCCCTTAGTCATTTCTTTGCCTTTAAAGTGCAAATAGGAATTAAATTATTTATGAGTTACAGGTTTTCTCATGTATGTTAAAAAATTCAGCAAGTACTTAAAATACTATGTGACCAAAGATTTCAATTAACTCTGTATTTTAAATCTAAAAGGAATATAGTAGAATTCTTCCGTCTTGCTTGTCCTGATTTTAACACTAAATGTGGTAGGACACAGTCACACCCCATGGTGTTTAAAGGAAAACACGAATACTGCCAACTCATCCTCCACCGTCACAACTATGAAAAAATAAAAAAAAACTTGATAAGACGTAAAAGAAAAATGTCAATAAAACAACAAAAAACCTAACGATGATACTGTTAAAGTAAATTATATTTTATTGCAGTAATATTACTGTCATGTCAAATTTTTAATATTCTATGTTCAATTTAAGCACATTTATTGAATTGAAAAAAAAAGGATTTTTTTATTTATTTATTTTTTTTTTACATAAATGCACAAGGGAATTGGGTCCAAATCTTCACAATATCAAACTATGGGGTATGATGTTCATTTCCTTTATTTCATGTTAAAGCTAGCAGAACTGTTTTTTTTTTTTTTTTTTTTTACGTATTTCCCCCCTGAATTGTCCATAGATGATGCTCCAATATCACCTTCCTTTCCACTGTAGCACAAAAAATTTAATTATCAGATAAGTCGGATTGGAACAATATATTTTTCTATGTAAAAAAAATGATATATTTTCTGATTAATTCGTATAAAAATTTAAACACTTGTGGTGTTTAAAGTATTAAAATTGAATTCAAAATCAGCTAATTTAAAAAAAGTACAAAAAAATAAAAAATACCACTACAAAATGATTATTGACATAGAAGAAAATAAACTCAAAACAGGAGTGCTAAAGAAATGCAATCCTTAGAGATCTGATAATCCTTGATGTTCAACAAAACTAAATTATCTAAATTATTTAGACAGGTATTTTTTTCTTAGTAAACCAGCATAGATGGCACAAAACAATGAACCATATTAGGGTTTTATTTTTTTTTTATTTGTTATTGTTAACGAGAAATTCATAGAAACTCCAATCAATATAGAAAAGTAACATCTTGGGGAAATAATTTAATTTCACTAATACTGACGGAATACCAATAACTACCATCTGTGATTTAAGCAAAAATAAATACTTGTCATCTGATGATGTTATTTATCCCATTGAACATGTAAAGCAGAAGTATATGTTTTTTATTTCAAAGTTTTTTAACAAATCAAGGATAGCAGAATATTAGCCGCACTGTTCAGCTTAAAATATGGCAGTAAACTAGACATAGTTGCCATCCAACATAAAAAATAAGGGATCTGGCTCCAAAATAAGTCATTATTATAACAGATCGTATTTATTAAGTATATATATTATTTAATGTTACACATGTTTGATTTTTGTTTGTAACAAGGTGTTTTTTTTCAATTGAAAGATTATAGCAAAGTACTATGACAGTGTATATTGGTGTGGCACTCCATACTGGAGCTCATTAAAGCTAGGTCCTTTATTGTGTCAATGTTTGATAGAGCACATCGTGTGTCCATAGATGCATGTTTTTGACAGACGCCATTCTGTGAAGGGGTCGGTTGATTTAGCATAATTATTGCTTTGCAGATCTTCATTCTGTGATTATCTTTCCTTTTTTTTTTTATTGTTTTAAAATAAAAGCCACAAATTGAAACCAACAATTTAACCAACAATGTGTAAACATTTTAAGTGGGGGAAAATCATGAATGAGTTGTTCTTAATTTATTTTTTTTGCTTTCATTAATTTGTTTCAAAACGGTACCTTACTATGTTGTATGTCTGTCCAATCTCGTGCTGCCAATAAATTGTCTTTTATATGCTGTCATTTTACGACTGGTTTCATTTTTCTTTCATTTGGGAATTTATCCAATAAAGGCTCCAGATCTTGTTAAGTAATTCCCCTAGAGCAGGGAAGACAACCATACTGGTTTACATTTTCTCTATACACTCAGCTAATAGTTGCCAAGCAACGGTGCAGGTCAAGCTCCTTGCAGCTGCTGACCCAATTAATGTGGGCGACACCAGAAATTATGGCACTATCTCTTTACAAGGACACTCAAATGTGTAACCTGTATACACAACATCCTCCTCAGATTAAAAACAAGTCTTCTTCAAGGCCTGCTTGATTTATGCCGGCGGGAAACAATTTCAGTCTGTTGCATGTTTTGTTCCCTCGGTGAGGTTTGTTTATGAGCCTGTTCCGTGTGCAAATGAGTTATAGATTTGATCAAGAATGAGGAAAACGAATTCCCTGCAGACCTGACTGATCTCCGATGTTGTGAAGAGGTCCCTCTAAGTGGTGCTATAAAAAACTGTATGGAGTCAAGAGCTAATTAACTGAGAGTAAACTAAAAACAAAGTTATAATATTTTAAAGGAGTTTATTTTAGCAAACAGCTTATCATTGGTAGTTTAAAAAGATGGGTCAAATATATTTATAGATTTCTGCCATATTATAACTATTCAGGTATATAAAAAAATTTAATTTAAACCCTATTTTTAAATATTTAAAATAAGGTATACTTGCATGAGTTTGTTTATGAACTGAAGTTAAAATAGAATGTTTGAGTTTGCACATTTTTAAAAACTGTTGGGAAACCATAAATTAGTGTTTTGTAAGGAAGCAACTTTTTGAGCAAATATTGTAGACTCTTCCTCCGAGCAATATTAAAATATAACTGCCCTCAAAAAGCTAGAGATTTGTTTTAAGAGTAATACTTTAATTTGTGGCTATTTTATCAGCTAAATACATTTTTTACTTAAATTCTCTTACTTGCATTCCTCATATATTTGCTAAGTAGGTTTTCTTTATGTTACAGTATCTAAACAAGTTATCAGTCACCTGACTATGTTGAACACTAAGTTGGTTTAATCAGATTTTTCTATTTTGGTAAGAGCATGGTTTCTCTTTTCTTGATGTGTATTTTTTACTTTATCGTTTAATTTATTTAAATTGATGATTCTTTGTGTTGATTCCGAATTTTATTGCTTTATTATTCAGAGATATGTGAATCTGTTTTTATTTTTTGCTTTGCCACTGACACCCCTGAATTTTCCCACTGTGGGGCAACAATAGCTCTGCTTTTATCCAAATGTCAACTAATTAGCAATTTTTTTTATACTTGTTTTACTGCATACAAACATATATAAATAAAATAAAGACATACTATTATATGCACTTTATTATATGTTTTCCTCATTCTTGATCAAGCACTTTAAAACTACTTATATTTGTGTAATTTTTATGTTTTTAATAGCCAAAATCATTATATTGTGATATTATAGTTTTATATTATATATATAAATAATAGAACTATATATCATAGTGATATTTGGGGACCAATAGAATATATTGAATAATTGCAGATTTTGGTTTCTACTAACCGTTACAGGCATCAGCTATGTAGTTAAGTGCAGGAATCTTAAATAGAATGAAATGCATCTACAGTGAGTAAAATAAGTATTTGAACACCCTGCTATTTTGCAAGTTCTACCTCTTAGAAATCATGGAAGGGTCTGAAAATGTCAACATAGGTGCCTGTCCACCGTGAAAGACATAATCTAGAAAAAAAAAAATCCAGAAATCACAATGTCCATTTTTTTTAACCTATTATTTGTATGATACTGCTGCAAAGAAGCATTTGAACACCAGAGAAAACCAATGTAAATGTTTGGTACAGTAGCCCTTGTTTGCAATTACAGAGTTCAAATATTTCATGTAGTTTTTCTCCAGGTTTGAGCCCCAGTCTGAGGGAGATTGACAGTCAGGTTTAACTTCTTTTCTTATGATTGCTCCAACAGTGGACCTTTTTCACCAAGCTGCTTGGCAATTTCCCCGTAGCCCTTTCCAGCCATGTGGAGGCGTACAATTTTGTCTCTATGGTCTTGGCCTTTTAGTAGTTGGATTCTTACTGATTGTATGGGGTGGGCAGGTGTCTTTATGCAGCTAACCACCTCAAAAAGGTGCATCTAATTTAGGATAATAAATGGAGTGAAGGTGGACACTTTGAAGACAGACTAAGAGGTCTTTGAGGGTTAGAATTATAGCGTATGAACAGGTGTTATAATACTTATTTGCAGCTGTATCAAACAAATAGATAGCTTTAAAAAAATAATATATTGTGTTTTCTGGATTATTTTCTTTTAAGATTATGTCTCTCACAGTGGACATGAACCTACAATGACAATTTCATACCCCTCCATGATTTCTAAGTGGGAGAACTTGCAAAATGGCAGGGTGTTCAAATACTTATTTTCCTCACTGTAGTTGTAGTAGTTTATATACAAACTCTCAAATTCCACGAGAGAATTTGAGCAAAACTGGCAACAGGAAGGATTCAGTATGAAGTGAGGGAAAACTGGCACATTAAACACTGAAACAAGAGGTTTAAATTCAGAGGTTCAAAAATTCAAACATCTGTGTTGGAGCTTTGGAACAGCATGCCAGATCATGTGCATCCTAAATGGGAAAAATAAACCAGAAAAAAAAAAAAAAAAAAAAAAAAAAAAAAACAGGTTGGAAGTGAGGCATAAAACACAAAGGTAGCACTACCATAATGAAACAGGCCCTTTAAGCAGAAACACACATGCTGTGTTCAAAAAAAGAAAAACAAAGAGTACGCGAAACCAGCAAAATGATGACAAAAGAAAAAAGCAACAAAAAAAATCCTCTGATGTTTGTTAAAAGGCTTATAAAGCAGTGTCGATATAAGCTAAGCTGGTATATCCGAGATTGGAGATGTATTATAACAGAAATCTCATTTTGTCCTGGGCCTTCTCTGACTTAATGTAGGCTCAAAAACTAATCTTTGTTTCATCAAAGAGAAGAGGCCAAGAGGATTATTTGTTTCCATTGAAAAATAGTAATATAATGTAGAACTCACCTCTAGAAAATTGGAACTATCCCTTTTGAATAGTGTAAATTAGAACAAGCAGAATTGCATTTTGACTTAATGTTCCCATTAATATGAGTGTTTGTGTATTTTCTCATTTGAAATACTTCACACTTTAGGTACAGGAGGTATTCAAATAGCGCTTTATCCTCCACCTTAACAAGCACTCTTCATCCACAGACATACAGTAAAATCCCAGGTCTAATCTCCATCATTGGTTTCACGTTTTCCTCCAGAGTAGAGCTCTGCCCCCGACACAAACCTGCCGCTTTAAATGATCTCTAATAAGATCTGCAGCCAGATGGTGTTTTCACAAAACTTGAGGGAAAAGAAAAGCTGAAGGGTGAAAAACAGGCAGGTGTATGAACACCTGAGGTCTTACTGTTGTTTTTTTGTTTGTCTTTGAAGATGGATCTCTCTGCCAGAATGAATTAGTTGTTTGAGTGAGGGCTTCACCAATTGCGCCAAAGGGCTGAAAAATATGATACAGATTTCTTCCCA